AATTAAGTTTAAAACGCAAAGTTGCCCAAGTTGCGTATCTCAAATAATTTCTGTAATTCACCATATTTAAGATTATATCTCTTAAATTCGCTTGTGCGTGTTTATATATATTTATATGTATATATATTTATGTGCATTATATAATAATATCGAAAAAAAAACAGATTATATTAAATGCGCCCATATCTTTGTAACATTGTATTTATACCGCATGAATACGATTCGTTTCGTTCAATGATCAGATTGAAGCGGACGATGTAGCATCGATGATATATTAAAACCTAATTTTATTGAGGCTAATGGAAGAACACAAGTTAGCTTAAACGCTTCAAGGATTTCTCGAATCGATTAAAACCGACGAGAAAGATTGCTCCATCGTAATGTAAATCGCGAGTAACGCAATTAAAAACTCGAGAACGCGTCGAGCAGGTTTACAGCGGTTATCGCGACCTAGCGAGTAGCGCATCAGGAGCGCACAGGAGCGGAATGCCTCTGACAGATGGCCACCAGAGATTTCCGCAAGAAAATAACGTTTACAAAAACGTTGACGAGAGATACAGCGTGAATATGGCGCTCGCTTTGGAGGCAGGCAACGGCGATTCCTAGAGAGCGACGGTAATCGTTAATCCTTGCGAAAGCGACTCGTCACGATTTAAGTGGAACCATTCGCTACCTTTGCATATTAAACACGAGATAATGCTTGTACGTCAACTAAGTTATTGCACACGAGTCTATTAAGCTAGCCTTGTCAATGGGGATTAAAGATGAAAAGATAACAAGATTTCACGTCTAATTGGAATTTTTACACAGAGGTACACTGTCATATTTAAATTGCCCTGTGAAATAATCGCAGCGTAAAAATTAACGAACGCGTGTTACATTACACGACGTACGTCGTCGTGCATAATTTCGATACCGAGAATCACGATAATACTTATATTGGAACAAGGAACACTTTGTCGAACAGGGATGTATACACGCGCGCTTCGCTCTAATCTGCTGTAACTTCATCCGTTTCTTTATCCCATTTCAGATTCACATCCGGTAGCAGCTTTTGCATTTAGCAGAAACCGTTTCACGCCAAAATGTGCGATATTGATGATATTGTACTTCATATTATACGTAATAAGTAAAAATACCAAAAAGTATGCGAGGACGATTACTTTGCAACGTAAACTTGTTAAATTACAGTGAATTAATATTACACGTTCTAGGAAGTACGTGTACATGACGTAGTTTGTATGGTCACAAGGATGCACTGAACGTGTGAAATGGCGTTGCGATAGGTATAAAAGCGAATCGACCGCTTTCACGTGCTTTGCAATTTATACGAGTGCTTATAGTTCAGTAAAATGAATGCGTCGCTATCGATCTTTCTATAATTCTACCTTTATTCGCAGTTTAACATAGAACGCTTAAAATGATTTATTAAACATGGATTTGAAGTTTTCCCGAATGTGTAACGCGGTAAAATATGAGAAACATTGCGTTAAGGACACTTTTAGATGACTCTGAAAAACACAAAGACAACTAGGCAAAAGTATTTCATGGAAATAAATCTCACAAGTTAAAGAACAAAAGCTCCATTCTTAACTATTGGTGAAATTTAGAACAACGAACATGAACTTTGATGCGCCTTTGGTCAATTGCTTTAATCAACTCTTGTGAAATAAATCTTTCTAGATGAAGAAGAAGAGCGGCAATTTACTTTGAAAATATGTAACTTTGCTTTCAAATTTACTTGACAAATACAACCAACTTTTAAATCAATTTAATATCTCCACCTAATTTAATACACAATATTTTTAAAATATAATTTTTTAATAATTGTTTAAAAAATACAAGGAAATGTATTTATCTAACTGTCGAGATGTGTGTAATTCTATTCTCTTTGCATTTCTCTTTGCGCTTCTCGAAGAGGCGTGAAGATACACGATCGTGCCCGTCTTATTGCAGACGTTATTACCAATTAACCATTATTGTCTGTCGCATATCGCCACTGCTAACGCAGCCGTAGATGTTTCACAATCATGTTCGAGATTGCAAGTGCGAGAACATTGAAATTATAATAATTCCATTGCAATAAAATATTTCACTCCAGAGTCATTATTTCCATAAAGGCATTGCGGTAGACGCAATAAATTGCGACATTCCACAATAACGTGAAAATTGAAAATTCGCCAGTCGTTAATTCATAATTATTTTGTTGTACCGAATTTCAGCATTATTAAGACAATGTATAAATGTAAATGTTACGGCACAATACTTTCTTTAATCTGAGATTTATATTATTTACATACAGTTGATGTGCTCTCTAAATTTATTGGAGTAAAATCTTCAAAAGAGTGAAAATCTGCCACTTATTCAAGAATGTAAATCTTTACTATTTTTAAATAATGATAGTATTTTAATTCTTTTGGTGTGAGATTTCATTCCAAGAAATTAAGAGTGACATTAATATTTACACACTCGAAATGTTATAAATCTAATTGTTATAAATCTAATCCATTGCAGAATGATAGAAACTTTGTTAAAGAGAAAAGCATTCTATAACTACAGAGAGTTATAGAATGCTTCTGTTTTCTGAAAACATGTTCAGAAACTATAATTGTTGACAACCGATTCGATTACTCGAAACTGTTGATACAAACACCCTAGCGATAACATTGTATTGTTCTAACAATATTTGTCGATATTATCGATTTTTACATGCATTATTTGTAGTAAATAACAGCCATATCATTAAGAATAAATTAAAAATATTGTATTACATGCGTATTATATTTTTATATAGAAATCTAATACTAGCTAAAATCTAGCAATATTAAAAGACTGTAATTAGTTACATATTTTAAATATTAAAAGCACTGTTATTTAAGACTTTTAGTATCAAACAAGTAATTTATTACTGCCTTTCAGTAATAAATTGACCAATATTAAATTGGTCAGTATTAGATTTCTGTAAGGGAATATCGCAGTAATGGTTCATCATGTCTAGAGTAACAGAAGGGGGTTGTAGAATTGCATTAATTCGCAATTGTCGCTGATTAAGCGCCACGTTTAAATAATCAAAAAATAGATATAAAATAGATATAAAAATGATATTAATGAATAGTGAAATTAATTAATATAGTACATAATACCCCTTTTATTTCATGGAAGTGTCATGTGATCGTTGTCGGATACACTTACTTCTGCTGGACGCGAAGAAGACAGTGGTGAACCGACGTCTTCCGGTCGCTATACAAAATTCCTATGGTGCAGCGTGAAAAAACACCCCCACAGCTGCGGTACTGACGGTACGTTCCTCTCGGAAAGGCACAGGTGTCATCGCACTGTCACGGCGCACGCAATTCACGATTGCCGCATAGGATACCGCGGCATGTCTCTCTCTCTCTCTCTCTCTCTCTCTCTCTCTCTCTCTCTCTCTCTCTCTCTCTCCCCTCTCTCTCTCTTTCTCTCTCTTTCTCTCGTTTTTTTCCTCCTTATATCTTTCTTCTTGTTGTACGTGACGTATCGGTAATCGCGACTCGAGAAACAATCGGAAATTTCGGGGAGTGGATGGAACGTGAACCTCGATCGATGTCCGTGCGCAGACTGCCCGCACCATCGTCGTCGGTTGCCTCGCGTTCATACTACGGTCCCTCGTTGCGTCTTTCTCCCGCGCATGTTTCCGCTCTTTCGTTCTTTCCCCCACCGCATGCTCCCATCTCCCGTCCCGTTCACACATGCACGAATTTCCCTTTAAAATTAATTAATTACGTAATAATTATATTTTTTATTAAAGTGTAAAATTTAACAAGAGAAGTATAAGTTAATGTACAGTATAAAATAATATGCAATAATAGAAGAAATGTACCTCAAAAGGTGAAGCATATCAGCATAATGTTGTCTTGAAGTCTAAGTCTATAATAATTACAAGAACAGTAATTACAGATAACAATTACAAAAACAAAATTACAGATAATAACACATTGTATGAAAATAAAATCATGTATCTATATATTTCATGCATATACATTAAATAAATAAATTCGACATTACAGAATAAAGGAAAACAGAAAAAAAATTGTAATGAAAAAGTGATATTATTTATCGCTAAGAATTTTTTAATGTTAAGTGTGATAAATTTTACCGAACTTTTTATGCTATCGATAATACTATATTTTATTGCCATATGGTAAGAAAAAATATTCAAGAAGATTTAGGAGTAATTCATTTTGATATTGTCATGTGGCAATAGTGCAGAGATTATCGTGGGTTAATTGCATTAAAACATAATAGTTATCGCACAGCTAACAATAATTTAAACTTCTTCACATACCTTTTAAGCCAATGACACCTACAGGTTTTTCGTAGGATGTCACTTCTTTCATCATTTTCTTTTCTCCGGTATTCAGTTCACCATTCTCTCCATAAATATCATCATATTAAGTAGCAACATTCATATAATTATTATTTAACAACACTACTTATCATTTCTCTTATATAATCTCACAAAAATTTTAATATACACATAAGTTTTGCATTAATTTTGTAAATTTGTGATAATTACATTTAATTTTGTAAAAAAATTTTGTAAAAAAAAATTTAATATTTCTATCGTTTATATTAATATTTCTATATAAAATATATAAAATTTATATATAAAATATTTTTATTGTAATAAAATAAATTAATTATGTATTGTACTCATACATTAAACATTGTTTAATTAATAACATATTATACGTCACTAGTTTATGCACTGAGAAACAGTCTGTTTAATAATCATAATGTTCAAAATAATTCGAAATTCGCCAAAATTTTTGGCGAGATTAAATTCATTATTATTATTGATACGTTTGAAATCATTAATAAATTCATGTAAAAGTAATGAATTCACATAAATCATTTTGTTAGCACTTGTATCTTTATATTTCTGAAAATTATTATTAATAAATGAGTCGAAAGTAACATAATTAATAATAGTAAAACGATTTCACAATCAAGAAATTTATTTAAACTATACAACAATATATTTTGTTCCACTCAGTTGGAAGTCTAAATCCGCCGAAGCTCGTTGTCGGATATGACGAGACATCATTAAGATTCCGTACGTCGGTTTCAAAACCAACTGACATTTGTTCTTTGTAAGTGTGAGATAGAAGAAGGGCACCACACCCATGGTTGGTGTTTTCCTCGTGTAGACATGGCAACTGATAAACTTTTTGTTCGCCATCTGCATTCGAGAATAAGTATTCTTTAACGCGTCATTATTCGCACTATTTTAGCGTTCATATAATAGCTTTCAGAATAATTAACACAAGAATAAACGAACGCTGATAATAGATTTAGAAATAGAGTAATAATTAGTGTAATACGATGCAGTTTCCTGTTCAGCAATAGAAGGATTGCATAAATGATTGTTGAGAGATTCATTTATTAGTAATTGTACGTTTCATCATAAGATATATATTGCACTATAATAAATTAAATCGCGCTGTAAATGCTTACAAGATTTCGGCCTTTATAGAAATTAATAAATTTAATAAAAAACTAAAGTTCTATTATTTTTTATTACTTCTAAGAATTTTAAAGCAAACTGTGCTTACGATAAAAATAGAACAAAATAATTTCAGAAATAATCAAAAAAACTGACAGCCATGGAAAAACAATTCCGTAATTAATGCAAAAACAAATGTATCGAATTAAGAACAAATAGTCGGTGAAATTATGAAGGGTGCATTATATCGGCTGCATCGCAATTACGTTTATTCGAGAATGATGAGCATTGCGTTTCGTCTTTGGAAGCGGTCGCGACTGAGGATCGAAAAGCCTCTCCGCTATTCTATATGAGAATCTTAGCTCGTTTAAGATAAGTAACTGCCACGCAAAAACTGGACATTCCGCTGGTATTTGTCCTTTTTTCATTCCACCCGTATATTTTCTTCTTCTAACTTTTCATCGCTTCGTTCGAAGAGTGATGACAGGAGTCTCCACTAGATGCAATAAATATATAATGTGTATAATCCCGATGCAATCATCTAAATTCTAAAAATATATATGTCAAACTACATATTCAAAAAGCTATTAAGAGATTTAATTATCGCATTGCAAATGCACGCAAAGTGCAACTCAAAATGCAAGAAGATACCCGAGAAAAAATATTAAATAATGGACATATTATATATATATATATA